CTTAAATAATGGAAAAGAAATTTATTCTCCCAAATCTCAGAAGTCTAATCCAAACTGAATTAAAGGAATAATTTTATTGTAAATAGTACTCCAACGAAAATATATTCTAATTAAGCCACTGCAGCTAGACAGTTTAGAAATCTAAATCTCTAGAGGCAAATGATCGGATTAGGAAGTGGGTTTGTTTTCAGGTAAGCCTGGTTTCTGCTCTAGTTGTCACTAATGATCACAGGCTACAGGCTTTCAGTAAACACAATAAGAAATATTTGCTTATGTATAATTTATTAACCATTTCCCGCTATGTTTTACAAGAGAGGCTTTACTCAGATGCAGCATCCCCATGAGCATGACAAAGCAGTCAGAGTCAGGGTGAAACTTTGTGGTAATCATTAATCCCAGCCAAACAATTATACCACGAAAGGTCAGAAACTGGCTTACGTAGTTCTGCCATTACTGCAGGACCTTTTCACCATGTAGAGTGACTTTTTGTGTCCTTTCCCTCTCTTTCCACCCTCAGTACCTTACATTCATGCCATAAGAGATCATGTTGATTCTTTCGTTCCTTTAAATGCTGTATTTACCACTGCAGAACAAGTGTTCCCTATCCTACTAGATAACACAGATTTTTAAAATATTTTTTTCTTTTAAAGTGAGAAAAAAATTCCCACTTCTTGACTTGATGAGGCAGCACAGAAGGAGTTCATTTCACTGAGCTGCCTACACATACTATTTCAGCAAAAAGAAGTTGTCAAAACTGTTTCAGGGTTGTTGAATCCTATTTACTGGAACAGCTTATTGCATTGCACTAACACTGTATTCTTTTAAATATTAGCACTCTGGTAGAATGCATGCAAGGAAACAGGAGAGCTATAGTTGTCCTGAGAATGAGGGATACGACAACATCAAAAGCTACAGTTTAATTCATACTTCTGTAGAAAGTGAAACTGCATAGCACTGTAGATTTCAACCTGGGTGCTTTTCACTTTTATTCTAGCTACATGATATGTTGGTAAAGCTTAGACAGCCTGGCATGAGTTTTGCTACCGTTGCATTTTCTCCTCTCTCCCACCCCTCTCACTGCTTAGCCTTCCAGGTTGCTCTGGCTCCTGAAGCTTCTCAGTCCCCATTCCTCTGCAGATGTCTTCTTTCCGCCCCGGAGGCTGGTCCTGCCTCACCACCTCTCTCCCATGCTGCTGCAGCTGCTTAGAGGATTAATATTTATTTTGCTCTCCTGTTTATGGGTAATCAACAATATGGCCTAGTGGTAAACGAATTAAGTGTGATGGAGGGTATAACTCTTGGATGTATCTGTTTATAATGGCATCTATAGGTGCTATCTATCATTTGTCTTGTGTCAGTGGGTGGCAGGGAGGAAGGCTGCTTATTTGTCTTATTTCGTTTGCTGTGTGCTAGATCTGGCAGAACACAGTAGAAGGATGTTCCTCCTCTGAGCGAGATCATTTGAGGGACTTCTATGGAGTGCAGGTGGAGCTGGCAGAGAATGAGAGATGTAATAAGGAGAAGTGACGAATGGCAGACTTGTATGAGGAGCAGGGGCATGCCTGCATTTTATTCTCAGTGCGCATCACTGAGCTGGAAAACTTTAGTACGGGAAACAAGAGGAAGAGTTATAAAATAGTATATCTGTACAGAAAGTTGCAAAAGTTGCAAACAGTCGTGTACCTGCTCTTCTCACTTTCCACATTGGTTTAATACGAGGCAAGAGGAACCTGGAAGCTACGTTAAATGGTATGTTGTCCTCAAGCTAGGAATCGGGATTATTAGCTGAGGTATTACATTTCTAATTACTAATCTTCATTTCATTGCTAATGAAGCTACATACAGCTCTCAGACTAAGCCTAGCTCTTATCTGTGTAGCTTGGATAGCATACCCATCCAGGAATACTGTTCCATAGTTTTCCCAGTGAAATGATGTAAGAATAATTATTTGAATCTTCTCAAGCTGGAATAGATAAAATACTCAGAAACATCCTCTGTGAAACTGTTTTCTGCTGTCAACAAATGGACTACACAGTTTAAAAGGTCTTCTGACCTTACAGTTTTATTCCTGATACACATATTGTATATCATACATTTAGAAGTCTGAGTTTGACAATATTTCAGCCACACAAACTAAGTATCGTTTGCTGAATGCAGTATTGGCACCAAGTTTTCCCAAACCCATGTACTTTTCCATAAAGCGAAAGAATGTACAGCTAAAATATCATACTAAAAATAGAAAAGTGCCTGTACTTGCAAAAAATACTCAAGATTCATTACACATTCATTATGGATGTGAATGCAATCATGTTTCTTTTGGAAACCTTATTAAGGCTTATTATGCTGTGCTGTATAGTTTGGACCACAGGTAGGTCCACATTATTCTATTAAAAAAGAAAATTCCCGGGAGTGTTTATTTCCTCTATCAGCAGTCACTGCTGCTCCAGTTCTTGTAGAACAGAATATGTACCTGTATTCGAAATATGTAATGTTTTACTTCTGTATAAAAACATATCCAGGAATAGTTCTGTGAAACCACACTTTTCAACTTAAAACTTTCTATTTGCTTTCTGCTTCTTTATCAGGTATATTACAGATCATTTGTCCTCTTTAGTTAGAATCAAAAGAGTATGTGTGCGTTTATAGGGCAGAGAAATGTGGTATCTTTTCAAGGCAAGAGCACTTTGCATGGTGACCTGCAGTTCAACAATCCGGCCGCTTCCCAACTCCGTGTGAAAAAAACAGGAGAGCACCCAATGCCCCCCCATTCCTAGATTTTCTACCAAGTTTCCAGGAGAGTATCACCACCCCTGGGGATATCAGAGACTGTGACCTGTGAGGACCCAAGCTGCTCCACAGTGCACTGCAATACCAGCTTCTAGTACAACTTATTAGGTATTCTGCTGCCAGGACTCCTACGTTCACTACTGAGCACTTCTGCCCTCTGATGTAGACTATGCTAGAGTCTGCTCCCTCTCCTTTATATTGATATTCCCCAGGGAACATCATCTCTGCTCATGAGGAAGATGCCCATCCTGCACTAAGCCCTTCCTGAGATAAATTTAAACTTTGATGGTTCTACCACAGCTCATTTATCTGAAATTATTTTTATTTTAAAAGTCAAAAAATGTTTTTGTTCATAAGATAAATTAATATTTGGTGAGATAATAAGTCAAAAATGTATAAATTTCTTCAAGAGACCTCAGTGACGTTGGTGCTCTGATTTCTCAGAGAAATCAGAATGAAAGTGACTGATTTTAGTAGGGGAAGATTTTGTCATGAAATTTAAAGAATTCTTCAATATTCCCTGGGAAAGAACTAAAATACATAAATATTATAGGTCTTGCTAAAAATTACTGAGAAGTATATTCAAAGACAATTGAAAGACAATATTTTGTTGTACAGAAATCACATTATTATTCCAATGATAGTGTAAGAAGAGGTCCTATAAACTGTATTCCCATACTTCATTGTAATTTTTAACCTTTAGCATAATATAGTTCTATTTTCTCTTTCTTTTTCAGCCAGGAAAGATGATACAAAACAGAATACTGTGCATTATGGAATAAATGGTTTATGAGACCACTGCGAAAAAAGCAGAGTTTTTCCAACTTGTGCTTTTCATCTCTGATTACTAAAGCTTTACTTATAACTCACTAAAATATTGCATAAGTGTATAACTTGTACGTATATAGTTTGCCTAGAAGAAAATGACTGTTTTCAAATACTATTTTTCTGTCACAAGCTTTGTAAGATAAAATGCATATTCCTCTAATTTTATATCATTCAAAGTATAAAATAATTAAATTAAATTAATTTAATTTAAATTTAAATAATTTAAGTTATGCTTAGAAAATCATTCTAAAAGCTCTTCAGCAGGTGGATGGCCTAATACGTTGAAGAGTTTTTATTATAATCCAGTGTATTTCAATTTTTTTGAAGAGGATATTCATAGTTTTTCGTTTTTCATGTTATGTCAAGATGTGGAAGAAAGTCCAATTTATAAATATTTATCATCACCGGTGATAACAGAACAATGACCTTTTTTCTGCCAGATGCTTCCATTATCCCAAGAAAAATCAATTACTTCACAGGCATTTCTTTGATATGCAGACTGACTCCCCTTCCTCATACACATCAATGTATTTTTAATATTCTTCTCATACCCTTAAGACTTTGCTTCTTCAGCTGTTGCATGCTAAGGACAACCGATTTCAATAGGAATTCTGCTTGCTCACTTGCTACGTTTTATAGGTTATATGTTTATCTATGATAGTAATATAATTTTCTTAATAATATTTCTGCTGTATTTGGTGTTATTCAGGGACCAGAAAATTGGGGTATATTACTTGTTTGTGGACACTAAAATGTAAAATATGGGCAGAAAATAAAAAAAGGAAGTTTCAGAGGCAAAAATGGAGGTGACTTTGGCATATGCATGTTTGTGGGAAAGCTATATTTGTATATAAACATATTCTTTGGCTTTTTAACTAGTTTATTTGATTTGCAGAGTAGTGATGAAATGAAGAGTATGTTTAGCTTCTACGATTGTTTTTGGACTGCACATACTAAGTAATGGAACAATGTGAAGGAAAGATGATGGCTTGACAGCTACTTTTCTGCCTATCAGTGAGAGTCATAGGAATAGAATTAAAAATTTTGAAAACTCATGTTGCCATAGGTAAATAATTTAATAAGCACATGATTTTTACATTGTATTGAAACTGCAGGTGAACTTTTCTATCTTAAAGCTGCTGCCACCATTTCCATGTAGAATCTGAGCCCATCATGGATTTCAGGGTGTTTCTGATGCTCTATTTCCAGACAACAATCTTGAAGCTGTTTTTTTTTCTTCCTTTTTTAATATGCTGAATAAAAATAAATCTCAGTTTTCTTAGCACTTCATTTTTGCCCATACTTTTTTAATACATAACTAAAATATACTTTTGATAAAAATGGTAGGTTATATGTCTACTCAGAATTCACTTCTTTTTTTTCAGAATATTCAGAAGCTGTTCCTGGCCTCCCCACTTCATATGCTGCTATCCTAAGAATTAAATCCGGTAGCTCATCTTTAGCCTCATTTAATTCAAAGAGCAGACCACGATTAAGCAGCCCTTCATTAGGAAGCGTATCTTCCCCAGGCTGGAGAGGAGCTGCACAACATTATCACTCTCCAACAAATCTTTACCACTTTTCAGAGGCGTTCAAGCATGATGGTAAGTCTAGTTTTCCTCTCTCAATCTTTGAAAAGAATGTGCTTATATTTGGTTGGCACATTTTTAAAAGCTGTACATTTTTATCATCAGCTTACTTCAGTATTTCTCAAATGTTATTTTGCTTTTACTAAAAAAAAAAAGGTAAAAAGGAGCTTCTTTCCCTTTAGATTCTTCAGATTAATCTTAAAGTCACCAGCTAAAAATATTATTTCGTAAAGATTCCTATAGGGAATATTTTTATATATGAAAGGAGAAACTAGTGGTTTTAAATTCCATACAACATGAGTGTTCTATAAACTAATGCCCGTATAGCTGAAAAGCAAAGTAGTAAAATATCTCTTTTACATATATATCTATATAGATATATTCCTTTGGAATTTTTAGAATTTATTCAGGAATTATAGTAATAAGAATTCAGGATGAATAATAAAACATATAAAATAACTTATTCTCTAAATTGTCTACACTGTAGAGTCAATTCTGTTGCATGCAACCAGTGCAATATGGTGCCATTTGCCTTTAAATGCAGAAATTCATAGTAACAATACATATTTACTTTTAAAAAGCCACATTTCTACTCCAGTACCTTTCATGATAATATTTATCTGAATTATATCCAAGAAAGAAAGAAGAAAAAATGGAAAGAGAGGGGGGAGAGACAAAGTGGTTGGAGGATATTTAAATATAATAGACTAATATAGTAACAGAAGAAAGATAGTAACAGAAGAAAACACAAATAACAGCCAGCCATTCAACAATGCACATGCAGCATAATGATTGTAACTACAGAATTATAGCTTCCAATCAATAAAGCCTTGTATGCGTTGAAAGTCGATGATGTATGCATGTGTGCTTTGGTGAAACAGAGATGGCTTAGGTGCAGGCTTGGATGTATTTCCTGAATTAAGGTTTATCTGGGACACAAACAATATGAGACATGCAACCAGATAAATTCTGTCTGATAACATTTCTGGAATTGGGGTAGTTTTCTGCATTTGTTTGTCTTGTGCAATATTGTTTGTAAGTAGACTTGACTAAACTTAGTTATTGTCCATGCACCTGACTTTGATAACTTGTCCCAGGCAGCTTGCTGTGTGTAGACAAAAATCAAAGATGAGGATTGGAACAGGAGTTGTACTGTCCTGGTATTTGACAGCATGAGTATCTGGAGACTGAAGTAGAAGCAATTGGTAGCTGGAAGGCAAAAGAAACAGACTTTATGAATAATGTAATATAAGCTGGAACTATAAAGCAGCTTCTCCCTGCATGACCCTGATTTTTCCATTTCATTTCCTTGAAAAGTCTGGCAACTTAGGGGCAGCTTATGTTGTTTATAGTTGATAAGAATTTTGACTGTTACACTTAAATCCTTGCTTTGAGAGGCCTGACAAATTTTACATTCATCTCATCCTAAGAGAATGAGATGGGATCCTCAGGCTAAGTGCTCCACTACCTAACTCCTTGAAGTTTCCAGGAGGTATGCCAAGACCATATCTGACATAGTCCAACAGTCCTGAGTATTACCAAAACACAGGGGACGCATTCAAACCCTGGAGCTGAGCTTTTGCTATTTTGCAAAAAGAAAGAGAAGATATGTTGATTGGCAACAAAATAAAAAGGGTCATAGCTCATAAGCCCTATTGGTCAGAGCACTGCTCTCAGAAGGATAAAACAGTCTTAGGAAGGTCACTCTATCCCTTTATGGCTCTTTGTAGACCCAGCTGTGAAGTCACAGACAGTTGCCCAGACAATTAAATCTGAGGCACTCGATTAATATTTTAAAAGCCCTTGATTATCTGAAGCACCTGCATGGCACAGATATGAGACAGGACTCAGGAGATTCAGCACTCTTCTGGCACAGCAGCATTGAGGGCCCTGTAGTGGAAGTCCAGGTAGGGTATTCTGCATCCTCCGAAAGGGCAAGAAACATCTCTGTTCAGGTAGCTGAATCCAACTTATTCTCTCAACCTCTCAGTTCAGGTCGTGGAAAATTTTCTATTAATGACTTTATGTTTGAGGAAAATATTTACCTTTGATATTTAGCAACCAGAAGTAAATTCATTATCTCAAGTGTTTGGCATTCCATTTACTTAAATTAGTAAATTTATTGTTTTTTATTTATTTGGCACGAAAGCCTATTTTGAGATTATACAGCTCTTGCAGGAAGAATATTATAGTTCCCTTCTTATAAACCTTGTGTGATAACTCATAGAGTTAAGTGATGATGTTTACTATCCACAGCCTACTAAATGAGAAAATGGTACAGCACACAGCGTTTGTGTGGTCACGAGGGCCTGCTGCAATCTTCAGGCAGGAATGAGAGGACATTAATAATAGGGAGAAAAACATATTTTATGTTATTACAGTAGAGACCTTGCATAATTCAAACATCTAATGCATGCACTCAGGAGCTAGGTTTGCCATGAGAGAAGACAAAATTCTTTTATTAGCTGCCTAAGTACACAGGTTCTCAAGTGACTTCTTAAGTGATTTCCCAGTAGACCTGCTCAGAGGCCTGACATAGCTTATAATAAAGCTCCTCTTATACTGACTTTATGCCATTTAATCTGCACTCTCAATTCAGTATGGATATCGTGATATCTCAAATTAATAGAGCTATGCTGTAGCTCACTGCTGAATTTAGACTATATGGAATTACTTAGCGTAACCATGCAGTTAAGGCAGTACAGTCTTTCTGTTAGTTAAATGCGAACTATTTTTCAATGTGGAATGTCACAACTAAATGTGCACAGCAAGTCTGAATTGTTCATGAAATAGTATTGAAGAGTCACACAACTGCGAATACTCATATTTCCTCATTGTTCCCACAACTTTTGGAAGGGCAGCAGCAAAGATAATTAAATTTAACATTGAATGAAGACTGGTTTTCCCCTTCTGTCTTCGATTTGATGTCTTTTAGAAGAAAAGAAAGAGAAGGGCCCAGTCCACAACTGACAGTGTTTGGTAACCCGAAACTTCAAGATGTGAAAAATCTGAATTTAACTCCTGCTGATGGTTCCTGGTGCCACACCATCTGCTTTGTTCAGTCATTAAGCAGTCTGAATTAAAGACATGCACTACTAGAAAATTTCTCTTTGCTAAAAAAATATTGAGGAGTGCTGATTAATGCAATTTGGATAGTTTGAACTATTTAAGTTTAGATTAGATTTGTTTCAGATCCCAAAACAGAGAAAGAGTAAAGTTTTCTAGCTACAGGAAAAACTTGTCCTAGCTTTCTTGATATGCAAATAAATATATCTACTTCAGAAGACAGAAATCTGAAAATCCGAGGCAAGAATTTGGTCCCTTAGCAGTGTAAAGTCGGTCATGCCTGGATAGTACGCTGTTCCAGTGTGTAGCGTACTATAATCAGTGTACCTCCTTATGGAGGTACATAAGGGCATATGTACTTTCCTGTATTTACCTTGGAATGGAAAAGATTCCTCAAAGTCTCCAGACTTTTAAGTTAACGGACACATATTTTTTTGCTACAATGTATTTTATTTTTTAAGAAGTATGTTCACGTATATACCCTATTCCAGTGACCTGGAGGTACATCAGGCATGGAGAAAAGCAAGCTGTGTGTAAAATGAAACTACTTCAGTTACTACAGAGTTGAAAATCTGGGAGGTTACGGGAAACTTTATTCCCATCTAGCAGTATTTCTCTTGATTTCAGAACAGGAGCATGTTCTGATTTCTCAGCAAAAGAACCAAAGAACATATGAATTTTTTCATCAATAATTGAGGGAGAGAGTGAAACGATACCTGTATGTAAGAAGGGGAAACCACATTTTGACTACTATCTATCTGAGATGCAGAAGAATTAGGTTCCAGTTTCCGCGCTAAGGAAGGTTTAATTAATGGCTACTAAGAAGTCAGATAGTCCACCTTGAAAGTGTAAATGTGCTGTCAGGAGAACTTTTGATTCCAAATAATATTCAAGAATATTCTGATATAATTTAAAAGGAATGCTTTTACTAATGTGAGGCATATTTGCCGTTTCCTTGCATTCCTGGACAATACTAGTTAAAATAGTAAGTTGTAATGGAGGTGTTTATTGCATTTAGTTGGCTCAGCTGAAAATAGTGGAAAATTTCAAATATCCAAAATATTGAAAATGTTGAAAATAACAACTGAAAATTTGTAAAGTGAGAGCAAATTAGCTGTTATGTTGCTTGGTTGCAATGTGTGGCTATAATTCTCAGGCGTACGTGTCACTCTATAATATCACCAGTCTCATAGCAGTTAAGTAAGATACAGAAAACTTGATGTTTTAATAAAAGCCTAAGTGAGGAACAAAAAAGTTACCTTTGAGAAATTGAAATAGTAAATTAAAAACTGCGTATATCTATTCTTCTTTCTCAATAGATGTGACCCAATAAACGGAAACTTTGAATTATTTGTCATCAACATACTTGTTATGATACTTTGTAGCCTCTTAATATTTATCTCATTTTATGCTCTTGTATACATTAGAAAGAAGAAACAAAATGATCAGATATATAATTCAAACCCTCCTACACACAGCCACAGAAGACTGTCTTCTTTAAGAGCATGGGTCACTGAAAGTTAAAAAATGGGTGCAGTCAAACCTGATGCTTCTGGGCATAAATTCCTTCCCTGGAAGCGATCAGGAAGGATATGCCACCTCCAATGCATCAGAGCCTGGGTAGCCTTTTCAGCATTCAGGACTGAAGAGGTGCACTATCAGATGGCATCGCCTTTCCTCCGGAGCGCTTACCACCTGCAGCCACAGGCATGATTGCAGACCAAGAGCCAGCCCCTGTACAGCAGACTAGACTTCTCTGTTTCTAAAGTAAACAATTAAACTGCATAAAAGTGTACATAGGTAATGTATAGCAATGTTGTGGTTTGGAGCACATATGTTTTAGATATAGGCTTATTGGTCATCTTAATTTATGAAATCTAAAATGGTTAGGGTTTCTAATCCTGTAAAAATTTAAACTCAGAAGAGGCCTGTTAGCTTCAGTAGAATACCTCATATGTGCTCAAGCGGATTTAATGGTTAGGCCCTTTTTTCTGTCATTTCTTGGTGATTATCCATGTATGCTGTCATTTACAAGTGTAATTTTGCAATTTTGTTTGCTTGTGAGGCAAGCATAAGGTCTCAAAGAACATACTACTGTAGCTGTTCACAATCAGACCTAGAGACTGATTTTTCAAGAAAGACTGTCATCAGAAAGAGCAGACCGACATAGTTAATTAGACCTGTGACTGATAATCAGAGTTTATTAATCCTGATGTTGGCTTTCTTGAGAGTAATTGAGCAACCTTGTAGTCTGGCGTATAAAAGGACACATGAACAAGGTCTGTGAAGACTAATCAACATGTAGTTCAACTGTGCACTGAAAGAATTGTATCTAATTTTTTAATGGTGATTAAATATGTGCTTAATAAATAATGCAGTACTCCTAAAAGAGAAATTAAGAAATTCCCAGTTGTAATCGTATGAAACTCACATGGTAGCCCAATTCAGCCTGGAAACCTCAAGCAGGCTCTCTTAATTACTTCGTGTTTTTATTAAAATAGATGCAACTTGGTTTTCCCGAAAGAATTGATATTTTAAAATAATGTGCCAAGATTGGCAATGACACTAAATTTATTTCAAAGCGAATTTTTAACTCTTGTACTTTTCAACTGTTAAACTTTGTTGCCACCTACTTAAAATCTCCCGTCCTTAAAACAATGACAGATGAGATTCATCAGTTCCTAAGGCAGCTGACTACATCCCGTACACTTCAGTAGACATAAGGTTTTTTCCAAGCATATCAGATTTCAGTCTGCACATTATTCTCTTAGTTGGGATGTCTATCTCAGAAAGAATAATGGTAGAATAATAGACAAAGAAAAAATGATATTATTCAAGAACAAAAATGAAACAGTACTGACAAATTGAAAATTGTGAAGCAGTATGGTAATTATAGAATTTTCAGAAATTTGAAGTCATTTATATGGATGCTGAATATCAACCCAATTCATTTACGATGGAATTAAATGTTTTAAATTATAAATTAAGATTATAGTTCCTTAATTCCATTCTTTAATATGAAAATGCTGAGAACTGCATATAAATAATTACTATTTAAAATATCAGTTGATAAATTGATCAAACTGCAAAAGGTAGTCAAGATTCTATTCATGTATATGCATTAATGCCATGCACATACATAATTTTTAAATTTGTTCTAGAAAATGGATTAATTATATTAATTTACGATGTGTTCAGCCGCATTGTTCAGTTTCAGAGATTTAAGGCAGTGGAGCTAGCATTTTGACTGACATACTGCTCAGTCCTGCCCCCATGACTGCTAGTCTTGCACACCTGTTGGCTTACTCTACGATCTCTCCTTGCCTAAAAACCTAGTTTAACCTTGATTATCTTTATTATGGACAAGGAAAGGAGATCTGCATCCCTGAATCTCATCCCACCATGAAACTGCAACATTGCCAGAGTGGTGTGCACTGGCTTCTGGGAAATGTTCTCAGGACACACAGTTTTAATATAGTCTTAAGCTACCTACACAGAAAACAGAATACAGAACCTCCAGTGGTGTTCCAGTCAGTTTTAGAAGAGTCTAGGACTTTCGGTTACTTTTAGTGTGATGTTAAGTGCACTAGCTGGCTAAAATAGGTAGCCAACATTGATATAATCACTGAAGCCCACACAATACTTCATTTTATTTGAGCTGTTAGAAGCATTATTCATAACAAAATTAAAGTTTATTCAATTATAAGCCAATTAGTATTTTAATTTGAAAAATAATTTAGAATATTTTTGAAAATATTTGAAATATTGAAACTTACATGTTTGCATCCGCAGTGTTTCCCTCACTGCATTTGCAGTAAAAAGAGAAGGTATAGAACACTTAAGATTTCCTGTTCCTAGACTTTCATTGGAGTTCGAATAAAGATGGTATTATTAGATGATCTATTATGACTTCTTGCATATCACAGCCTATTACATTTTACCTAATCATCCCTTTATCAAGCCTAATAATTCATGTTTTATTACAGTCTTACTTTTTAAATATGTGTTTTGATCTCTTCAGAATAGTCCATTTTGTTCAATTATTCTGTTGCAGTCCAGATGATTTGACTGAGAAGAAGTTTAGTCAGTTTAGCTACAAAATGATGAACGTTCTCATTCGTTATTGAACATTCTCATTCATTACTATGTCAGTTCTGAGTCTCCAAATAATCTGTGCTCATACTGCATACTCCATTTGAAATGCAGATAAGCAGCTAACCACATTGTCCCATCTCTCAGGAACATAACTTGCACCCACTGAACTTTCTCTGTTACCTTCATCTTCACTGCACACATCAGTAAAACCTTCTGTGTTCCTCATTCCTCATAACGAAAGTATGAGCCCATTTTGGCGCTACCATTAAGAATGCCAGCCTCCACTGGAAGAGTTCACTTTTTTTCCAAGAGGAGAGTGAAACACAGTCTTTCAATATTATTGTTGTGAATAGTACAGATAGTTAGAACACTTGTATTTCCAGTGACACCAGCACCGATACTATACTAGCATTGCATCCTTTTCTTTCTTTGTGACAAAAAGTTTAACCTATGGGGTCACTTCTAGAAAGAAGATAAAACCGTTAGTCTCCGTGCATACTCCTTAAATACACACCTAAGAATCTGCATGTGATAACATAACGTAAATAACGATTTGGTTTTGCATTCTTTAATTAATTGTTGTGTTTGCTAAACTCTAGCTTAATGAGTGTCCTGATTACTTATGCCCATATTCTTTAGTGTTCTTTCTTGTGCTAGGTAAGAAGTAGGTGGCTGAATTATAAGGAGCAATCTATAAAATGTATTTGTCCCATGTTTCCTTGCTTAAAAGAAGTTTTGCCAGCTGACTGCCTCTGCCTTTGTGACAGCCTCAGATGAACTGCTCAAAACTTCGTACTGCGGTTATTTTAATTTCTGTAATATAAGCATATATAAGTATAGCTTAGTTTTTTCGTGTGTTCTTTTTAAATAATGCAGGTATCTATCCCAGAAAACAGATTCCTGCCAATAAGTCCAATTGAAGCAATTGAACAAACACAGCATTAATGTAAACATGCAGAAGAGTAATCCACTCACACAGTCCTGTAGGAAGGGTGCAAAAACTTGAAAATGATGCAAAATAAACTGATAATTGTTACTGCTCTGATTTATTGCCTTTACAAATTGACAAAGTAATTATTTGAATGTATTTCAGTAGAAATGTACATATCTGAAAATAAAGGTATTTTCATAATCCACATTTGAAAAGAAATGTAATAGAATAAACTGAGACTCATTTAATAAATGCACATTCACTAAAAAGAAAGGATGAAAAGGATTGTGGGTTTTCATGTGGTCCTTTCACAATATGGTAATAACAGAATTTAGACAAACGAAATGTCGGTCTTTAAGAGGTGGAACCTGGGAACGTGCACCCCAGCAATGATGAGAAACATGGGGAACATAGGTCATAGTATTATCAAACCATACAGTATGTGTGCTGTATGCATGATAATACTATGACCTGTGTTTGCCACATTTCTCATCCTTTATCAGACCCCAAGTCTTCCTTATCTGTACGAAGACCCATAGTCCCATGTTCCTCTTCCTGTTCAGCCAAACTTCTGAACCTCTTAGCAGTTTGGCAAAGGTCACAGTTCCTGGGCTGTGAACCCATGGTATGCGGTGGCAATTGAATGGACTTAGTTGAGTAATACAGTAAATCATTTTGATACATCACCAACCAAAAAAATAAAATAGCTAAAGGGGGTCTTCCTCAGGTGCATGTGAAAATCTTTTTTTAATTCAAGCTGGTATTCTGCCTGGTAGGAAGGCGACAGGGGCCCAACTCTCACACTAGGTTCTACACATATATCAGGAGGTCATAAACTGCCTAATGTGCTGTGCTGTCCTCAGTACTCCTTGGAGGACTTTTATGATGTGAACATATGAAACTGTGAAAGTGAGAGAGAGAGAACCCTGCCTCCATATGTTTCATTACCACTAATAGGACAATGTGTCTGTTCCCCACACCGGCCAAATCCTCAGGCTAGCAATGTAAATTTGATGAGTATTACAGGACTAAATGAGTTAAGAATTGGGAGTAAGTCTAGGTTGGTTAAAATGCCACAGTCTTCTGTTTCATTGTGAGTGTTTTCGTTATGCAAAGCTACACGATCAGGAGTGCTGTGCCTGCAACCCTTTACTTTTCTGGAAGTTACACTTCCTTCTACAGCGTAGGAGTCGGTCATAGAGGTATTCTTGGGGCTTATTCAACTTTCTTGTCAATAACTGTACATTCATATGAAAATATAGATATATGCTAAAATTAGAGAAGAAAGTGGAGGAAAATTAAATGTCAGATTTTAGTATGTATTATTTAACAGTAACTACCAGGCACTGTCGTTAATTTTACAAGTGATTTTTCTTTGACATAAAGGGGGAAATTGTGATAGCATGCATTCTTTGTGATATGAGCTGTTGCAAGCAGCTGAAGAATTTTTGTTTACCTTACTGCCTATGGTTGGGGTTAATTCCTCTAGCTGTCTTAATCCTCTGGAGCTGGTCATTACAGTTTGGATCAAAAAAATTCTGAAAAGAAAGGCGTTCTAATTCATAGCCTTAGAATAAAATATATTACCCTATCTTTACCTCTTTTTTTTTCTTTTTTCTTTTTAGGTTAACTATAACCTTTCAGCATAACATCTGAAATAACGTGATTTGGATTCGCGGAAAACAAAGATAAACTTGCATGCTGTAACCTAACTTTTTAAAAGCTAAAATACGTTAACATTTGTTCAGAAATCCAAAACTACAGCACTTTCTCTTTCCACAGAAAGTGTTGATTATGGACCAGTATTTGTACAAGAGCCAGATGATGTGATTTTTCCCACTGATTCAGAGGAGAAGAAAGTGTCTCTGAATTGTCAAGCTCGTGGAAATCCTGCTCCCACATACAGGTACATGTTTTAGAATTTTTTTATGATTTTCTGAGTATGTGGCCACTACCAACTCCATTCTGAGCATCAGTGTGCATCAGATAATATAACAGAAAAGCCTGGAATGAAGGCAAAGGGATTTGTGAAATATCACATTCTATTTTCCATACATTGTGTCTATCCATGCGGAAGGATGCCTTTTCTCTGCTTTTATGACTCATGTCTGTTAGAGTTCACCAGATCAAAATCTTTAATTAATATTTTTCTGAATACAAAGCTAGGAAAATATGCTATGAAGTTATGAAATACCATCCCATTTTCTAGGGAAAGTAATAAAGAGCAGTTACATTAAATGGTATGACTATGAATATAAGAAACCATGACTGAGGCAAATCAGGAGTCTTTCATTGCCAAGTCACCATCTTAGCCCTCTGTAACCATTGTCTCCATGTTAACTCTTGCCTGTTTTGCCGTGCGAGCTGTTCCCGCACTCTGCGTTATGCCACACACATGAGTCTGAGACTTCAGTGCATTAATGGTGCCCACTTAGGTGGGAACAATATGCTGTAGTCACCTTCCTCCATTTCCTATATCTGACTCTGCTCATATTTTATGCAAATTACAAGCAAAGTCGGAGGGTTGGGGGAGCACACGGTTAATTATTTTTTCCAGACACCCTCTATCTTTTCTCATAGAGTCACTCTTCTCATACAGAAGGAGTATAAGGACTCTTACGCCTGTGTTTCATCAAATGCGGCAATCATCAATTCTGTATTTTATTTTTTACCTGCTAAACTTCTTGTTTCATCTGTGGATCTTTTAGGATTCGGGATGAGTTTCCCTTTGACTTGAATCATATAGCTCCTATGACTAGAATAAATTCCCCAGCGCAATAGCGCTGTGCCTCGAATCTACTCTTTGCAACAGACGTGACTCAATATACAGATCTGATGCGTGGCACAACCTCCCCAAACAGCACAGACAAGACTAAGACATGTAACATGGGATTAGGAATGAGTGGCCAGAAATTCTTCAGACTTGAACTGCACGAACTCCTTTTACTGTGAGATGAAAGCTATGCTTACATTTTACCTGATCGATATTCCTTCTGTAATTTCTGTTGCATATTTGCTACTTTGTTTACTGATAAAAAAATGATGCACATTCGTTCTCCCTACTCTTAAAGAGCTGGCAGTCCCTCAAATATAGCATGTAGCCATGGAGAAGAGGCACAAATTCCCACTCAAAAGAGGAGACCCTCATTATTATTTTGGAATTGTTCTCTTTGGGGAACCTATGCCATCTCCCTTCTTTCTCAGTCCAAACACTTTTGCATTTTCACAGTGGAATGCAGTAAACTAATACAGACTAAGTATACCTATTTCTTCAGTTTGCCAGAGATGAACTGGTATCAGCACCCTCACAAACATACTGTCCTGACTTCTGTTCCTGCAAGGAAAACTTTGGCCAGAAAGGCCTAATCCTAACAACACAGCTCGACTGCTGTCTCTTCTGTTGCTGCCACTTGTCTGTACAGCGTCTGCAATGTATCAGTCAAGGGAAGGAAAAAAAAGGACTTAATGAAAGGAATATTGCTCTCCAAGGCAGGTATGGAGGGAACTTAACTTTAAAAAAAGCTACAGATCGGCAGAAGTTTGATGGATTTCACCCTCCAACTTTTTCCACTTGAAATAGTGGGGAGAAAGCATATTTCTGTATCACCAAAGAAGATGCTGTCCTATTATCTACAAACACTGGACAATCAAGATCTTTACTTACATAGGAAGTGAGGACCATGCTGGTAACGTTTTTTCTTCAGCTACGAATGAAGCAAAATACAATTTATAAGTTATATTAAAAGAGCATTTAAAATACTCAAAAAAGCCAAAATTGAGGTTGTCTTTGCCGTTTTATGTCATTTCCTTCCTGTATGACTAATGATACAGTGTTCATAATCTGTTTACAAATCATTCTTTCCTGGGACATAACTTCAAGTTAACAGACTGGAAAATGCTCATCCCATTTGCAGAGTTTCTTCCTCCTTGCTAAGAGCTTCTTTCTCCTTGTTCAGCCTCTACCCTGAAATCAGATTTTTTTTAATTTCTTCACTTTTTTTTTTTTTCTGTGTTCCACTTATTAACATATCTAGATGCATTGATTTAGGGCATAACTCCCCGAGATAAACTGATGTTAAGTACTCAGGATCTCTGCAAATCATACATCATTACGTTAAGACCCATACAATGACGAGCTTAAATTACTGACCTTCAGTGAAGATTACGGTCATTCACAAGCCTCACTAGAGCAACAGTGACACTGAGTCAAAGGCAGGTGCAGCTTTCCCTGTGGCAGCGTTCTGTTACACATCCTGCTCATGAAACACTGCGTCCCCTCTTTTACTTAGGATGGGTTTAGGCTGGCTGGAATATTTCTACCACTATCATTTTCTGACAGAAAAGGCAGCAGAATAACAATAATAATAATAATAATAATAATAGTAATAGTAATAGTAATAGTAATAGTAATAGTAATAATAATTTTCTGGTTTTTAAGTCAAATTAGTATATTTTGAAATATTTTGTGTCATTTGTCTTCAAGAAAAAAATTAAATTGATTTTTCCCATCAGTGGCTTGCCTTTTATATATTGCGTTTGGTTTCCTGTGCTCCAGAATCAGTCAGGATACCTAAAAGAAAACATGACACGTAATTCAGTGTTATTTTTCCTCTGATATGCTTAGATATGTGAAGGGAATGAGATAATTCAGAATGAGATCCAAACTTTTGGGGAAGCATTACAAAAACGTAATTTTGCATTGAAATTCAACTGAAAATGAAATTAAGTGAAGCCAGCCAAGTAAAGCAAACCGAATTTTGCTTCAACTTCCATTTGGAAATGCTTAAACATTTCATTTCAGCTTTTTCCTGATCTAAATCTCCATCATTTCTGGATCAATTCATTTTTCATTCTTATTTCACTAAAAAAAAAAAAAACAACACCTTTCATTACGATTTAATTCAAAAACTAATCTTAAATTAATATTTGATTATTAATAAATTGTTCAAGACAAAAATTTCTACTTCTTTTTATCCCTGCTAAGTATGAATCTCTATAAAAATTAGGTAGAGAACCCTACAGACATGTCCTTAGTATCCTTTCTGATACAAAACTATTGTCAGCAGTGTTTCATTCCTTTCGTTGAACAATGCAGGAGTCCTTAGTAATCAAAAGTTCCATGGTGATAAAAGGGACAAATGAAAATTTTACAGTTCATCTTAATGCTTATAATTCTAACCTTTGAATTAAGAAAAATTCAGAGGTACTCTAGCTGAGTTCTGCTGTCTGTACCTCATTCACCATAACAGGATAGGGTAAATTGATAGTTATTTTACTTCATTAAAGTTGCCTCCAGACTCCAGATGTTGCCAAGTTCTTACAGTCTTTTCTGAACTTCAGAAAAGCTTGGCAATTTCCTGAGGCAACTTCGAAATTGCAGAATAGCTGCTAGCTAGTGATGGAAGGAAATATCTGTGCATTATAATACTGATGCCATACGACACTTTTTATACAGAATCACGATACCTGTTAGGCTGCTTATCTTTTTGCAATATCAGAAACATTCTTTTAACAATTTGATACAAAAGCAAATTTAAAATGTCTTCTATGTGGATTATTGTTCTTTAACCGAGATATTGCCATCCTACTCAAAGATTATTCAGAGTGTTTGAATCCATTAATTGAAAAATCTATTCTCTTGCAGGCAATGGAATATTTCAAGAATTATTGTTTCAGAGGGGTGAAACTCTTTGCTAGGGAATAAAAAGAGAAAAAAAAATTACTCACCTAGAAGAAAGATTGAGAGATTCTTAGGTTACATCTGAACCTCAGAAAAAGTATTTGCCTTACTGAGTCTGTGAACTCATGATTCAGACTGCCTGGCTTACTCCACCTTATATTCACTATCTCTATTGTTCAAGCTTCTCGTTTCACTCCCAGATGCTTCACAGGCTTAGTCAATCTTCTTCCAGCTCCTCATCTGAGCTTAGTTTCCATATCTTAAATGTAGGTATTACTCAACTAGCCACCAGATAATTCCAGTATCCCTGGTCCCAGTCTTCTCAGTTTCATGTACCCTGGTCCAGCTAGTATAATTTTGCCTTTCTCAGTTACTGACATCCCTTATTCCCCAAGTCTATGTCTCTTAAATCTACCTACCTACTCTTCACAGGTCTTACTTTTCTTCTGTTTATGTTTGAATCAAGTTTCTCCATTTCCTGAACTCCAAAAAATGAATGCTGAAAGAGCAGAAGAGAAAAGTTGCTTGCTCACGTACAGTGCAGCCTCAGCACTGTCAACAATCTGGGGTCATCTGGGCCCAAGGCTTTAATGATAAAGTATGAACTGAAACTCCGATTATCATGAGAACGATAAAAGTAATATCCTGGACATAAAGGATGCATCTGTTATGTAAATTTCAAGTGCCATGTCGCTGTGGACCACAGTGTTTTGCAAACGAAAGGGTTAAGATCTGTTTTGACCTGATTTTTTTTTTTTTTTCAAAAGATTTACCTTTTGGGCAAGCATGTCTTGGAATGTGTCTGTCCAAAAGTTTCCCAAAGTAATAGATTACTCCAAAAACTACCTTTTCAATAGCAGATGTCCTTAGTAATAGCTGATGCTGTGAGCTTCTGTATACTAAGCATGATGCCGTCCTTTGGCTATAAGATGCTTAAGTAGTTTGTTTCTATTTCTCCCAAGATGGCTTCGAAATGGAACTGAAATCAACATTGAGAGTGACTATCGCTACAGTTTAATAGAAGGAAGCTTGATCATCAGTAACCCCAGTGAAATGAAGGATTCTGGACAGTATCAGTGTTTAACTACCAACATGTTTGGCAGTATATTAAGCAAAGAGGCCTTTCTTCAGTTTGCATGTGAGTAACAATTTTTTTTTTTTAAACATAGATCAGATCTTTATATTGTACTAAACTGTAATCTGAATATTTTACACAAAAGTAACACTGTCTACTGACTTTACTGTGTTAGGTTAGAATCTCAGGATTAGAAACA